TTCCTTCCTTCCTTCCTTCCTTCCTTCCTTCCTTCCTTCCTTCCATAGTTTTAGACGTTTTATCTTTAGGCTTTGTTGATGAATCCTGGTTTGTTTCCTGATGACCCAAAGGTCCAATCTTTCCACTCTTCCAGATCAACGGCACGGTAACGGAGAACCTGTCCCTCAGCGACGCCGGGAAGCTGATCGAGAAGTCGCGCGGGAAGCTGCAGCTGGTGGTGCAGAGGGACCGGCGTCAGATCCTGATCCGAATCCCTCCGATGGTGGACAGCGACTCCGAGCTCGATGGTGAGAGACCCTCGAAACAGAAAGGCAGCAGGACCTACCCGGTGTGAATGCCCTTCGTCGCCGTCACCATCATCATCGCCATCATCATATCAAAACAAATCTATTAAAAAGATAAAAACCCACCGCATGTGAACTTCCATTTGTAACAATCAGCCAGTAAGAGGAAATTATTTCAGATTGTTGCCAATTATTTTTGCTGTAATCTGTTTTACGCTCATTAAATAAAAGCTTTTACTCACATCCGCTTTTAGTCGTATTTAAATACCACTTCCTGTACAACAGCCATCGTAGCTCCTCCATCCGCACTCTTTTATACCTGTTTTTATTGTCACATGACCCAGACAGCAGACTGCTATTGGTCAGGTCCGCTTTAGATGAGTGGTGTGAGTGGATTGTTGGTTTCAGGGAGGAGGAATAGCCCAAAGACCTGTGACCCACTTTGTCTGCTTTCATGTGTGTGAGTGTGTGTCTTCATGTGTGAAAGAGTTCATTCCCCTCCAGCAGGGTGATCTAATCCCCAAACATAATCCTGCTGTTGGATATGACAGCCTTTCATTATGTTCAGGTTCTGCTTGCTGCAGAAAACGCACTGTAAGGTTTCTGTAGTGTTTTGTTTTTTAAGCACCAAGTAGAAACCTTCCTCTTCATTCTCCATCCTGCTGCTTTATTCTATGTTCGTTTCTGACATCCGGATCTTATGCTTTAGTTAGTGGGAACACTAAGCGATTTGATCCCCTTTCTCTAAAACTGCTTTATTTTTTAACTTCAAATTGAAGTGATGGAGTAGAAAAGCAGCATCAGTGGAACGTGCTTCGTTTTAGTCCTGCAGATTAGTCATGTTTCTGGTTTTATTTCTGAATTTGGAGAGAGTCGCTGGGCTGCAGAAAAGAGACATTTTTCACGTCGTCTGTCGTGTTTTGCAGATATCTCTGAGATCGAGTCGTACCGCTCTTACTCTCCACAGGATGACAGACGAGGCCACCACTCAGACCTCTCTTCCCACTCCTCCAATGAGAGGCTCCGAGACAAACCCAGGTATGCGCTCATGCAGCCAAATAAAAGCTCACTTTGGTCTATTTTCAGCCGCAGTATTTTGTCCAACATAACAGTTTCGTGGCGTTTTTTTTTAGCTTCGGTTTAAGGTTTTCAAAATGAAGACTCGACTCGCCTCCTTTTATCTCTCCTCCGTACACATCTGAGCCCAGAGGTTTACATACAGTGAAAAGCGCTTTATTCTCCATGTCAGACTTTAAATCAGACCAAACTTCTCCTGTTTTAGTTTGTTTAGTTTTACCAAAATCATTTCTATTTGCTAAACGTAAGAAACATCAGAATTTTTAACTCTTTAAATTCAGAACCTTACATTTCCTTTATGACTCCAGCTTCAACAAAGTTGCTGGATTTTTTAATCTTGCTGGCAAAACCGGTTTAACTGGATCGATTTCATTCCTTCCACATCTAATTAATTAACTTCCTGAATTTGTTACGGTTTTCTTTATAACTTAATAAATATCCATCTATCCGTTGTTTTATTTACCTGCTTACCCTCTGATGGCTCTGGATCCGATCTCCAGAGGGCGCGAGGCGGGTCGTTAGGGTGGAAAGTATTTAAATCATTTTGTTTGAGCCACTATTTTCATTTAAATTAAAAACAAACGTGTTTATGCACATAAAAACATAATATACAGGATTAGTTTTGATAAATGCTTTTAATTTTATAAAATAGTTGTAAAATGTCTAATTTATTTCTTCAAATATTACATTTGATATCATTTCTGTTTTAAACACTTAATATTTCAGCGTTTCCGCTTTCTTTTCACTTTCATTCACCTTGGCAGTTTTATTTAAAGTTGTAAAAAAAAAAAAACAGATCCACAAACCATGTTTTAGTTTAAAGGCAAACATTTAATTCTACACTGGAAAAATGATCTAGAAATTATTAAACGTTTCTTAAATTAAGTGTATTTACCCTTATTTTGAGTGGGTAAATGAGGTAGTTTGCCAATGGAATGAATATTTTTACTCTTAAAATAAGATATTTAGATAAAATGCACTTGAAATGCAATTGCATTTTCTTATTTTAAATGTAAATCTCTTTTATCTCCTAAATCCGAGAACAAATGCACTTATTTTAAGAAAAAATGACTCATCTAGATTTGGATTTTTTCCAAAGTACAAGGTTTCTATGCGTTTGTATTTCTTTGAAGCAAAACTATAACGATTAACCATGTCATTAAAATGTTGAAATACAAATTAAATTAAACTTTATGAAATCTGACTTTTTATCCGTTGCCCGATCCACACTGCATGGAACTAATTTTATCAATATGACAATAATCAGGCAGACAAGTGATTGAATCACCGGTGATCAGGTCATTATTTTAGTGCAAAACTGTCAAAGATAATAGAATAGAAATAGAATTCAAAATCCCTTCTTGTTCCACAATGGGGAAATTCTTGTGTTAACAGCAGCAAAAAGATTATTGAAAAAAATAAATACGTATAACATAATAGTGAAGAGTTAAAAGATAAACAATAAAATAAGAGATTAGATTAAAAACTCTATGTACTTTATTCCTGCTTTTTAATCCAGGGCGGAATGCGTTCGCTCTGGGAAAACGGAGCGTGTCTCCTCTCTGCTCTTTCGGCTCTAACTGCATGCAAGGCTTTGAGGAAAGTGCAGCTGCCTGTGAGGCAGCGCTGAGGGAAGCAGAGAGACTCACGGCAGCTCTGGCTGCTGTCGTTGAATAGGAGCGATAAAACAGTTGCTGCTTTTAAAATGATGTCACTAAACTCACCAAAAGGAAAAGTCACTAAATTTGTCGCTTATTGATTTAAAAAAAAAAAAGGTCCCTAGATGCGTTTGAAAAGTCTCCAAATATCTAAACCACCTCACTAAGGCCCCGTCCACACGAAGTCAAAACGAACACGAAACGCTAATATTTTCCAGAACGTTTGT